TGTGTGTGTGTGTGTGTAATAATAAAATATAATTATTAATTTATTTTGGAAATATAAGAAGTTGACTATTGTAAGGATTCTAAATTATCTTTAATTGATCATTTATTGCTATAATTATATATAATTATCTTTATCTTTGGAAAAGAACACTAATAAAGTTTAATGGTAACTTTTTATATTTTATTTCTATAGTTAATTAGATTGTAACTGTAAAAAAAAGAGAAAAACACATATTAAATACTCATTCTTATTTATGCATAGTTTATGCGTTTTTTCTCTTGCTAACTTTCTTTATTTTCTTCTCATTCACTCATCTTTCATATTTGTTTAATCTTTGATACTCAACATACATAATTGCAATTCTAATCCAGAAGGCCCCAAAATAAAAGGTAAACTTGTTGGTTTTTATTTATTTTAATTAATTTACATTCACACACACACATATATATAGCTCACGGATATGTTCTGTATTTTATGTTTTTATTTTTTTTATATATTTTTATTAATAAAATCTTATTTATGTTCAACAATGTCTCAAGAGATTAAATAATTTGACAATTTTATCAATTGAATATTAAAGCTTGAATATAAATTTTAATTAGTAACTTTGCATCTCAAAAAGTCAGAAAATCAAATTTTATATAAAATTAATTTTTTAAAACTAATATTTAATTTTTTTTAAATGTTAAGGCCCTAAATATTTTTCTCTGCCTAGAGCCTAAAAAATGTTTGAGACGGCCCTCATTGTTATTTAAGATTAATAGTGGACTGACCAAAATTGTCGTGTTTATCTGGATTCGTTTTTTATCCCCAAATGAATAGAGAGCTTCTCGCTACAATATTTACATTTAATAACTATGCTTTTAACAGGCATAAATAATTGCGGAAAATGATAGGGGCACACCCCCAACCACACCTCCAACTACACCCCCTCTCTCATTTGCTACAGTATACCAGGTCCTACATGAGATTTTAAAAATTTAAAATCTCATGTGGGACCCGGTGCACTGTAGCAAATGAGAGAGAGGGTGTGGTTGGAGGTGTGATTAAAGATGTGCCCCTAGTGCCAGGATTTGGATCATCTCCACTACAAAAAAGTAGTGAAGAGACCACTACTTTTAATCTCAAGTATTGATTATTTAGTAGGCGGTTATGATACAATCTAAATCTAACACTTACCATACCCTCGTGTATTGCACTCATTCCTAATTTGTACTAAAAGAAAAAATCATAACCATCAACTAGATAATCAATGGCTGTGATTATGTAGTGGTCTCTCTACTATTTTTTTTTATAGTGGAGAGGATCCGAATCCCCTAGCGCCACCCAATAATTGCCATAAATAATCATGACTTGTTAAGACCTACCACGTTATGCCCGTAACCATCGTACTCCAATAAAAACGGGCACCGTGAAGTAGTAAAGTGATATTCCGCCCGCAATTTTTCAGAAACCGCT